TTTATTCGTTATTTTAATTTTCATTTTCTTCTATTCAAAATTCAAATCACTTGAATTTTAGGTGTTCATTCTTCTCATCAAGATGACACCCAATAAAATTAGACCAAAAATACAAATTGTATCAAAATACCCTTGAAAAGTTTTAAGGGCATTTTGATCAATTTATATTTTGTGAATTATTATTATTTTATATTTTTATTAAATTCTTTTATTTTTTTATAATAGATACTCAAAATTTCAAGTGATTTGAATTTGTAAAAAAATAGAAATTTAAATGTGAAATAAGGTCGTGACCATTGGATCGGACCCAAATTCAATCTGGGCCATTGGCTGACACTGTAGCTGTCAGCCCATGGGCTGACATGATCATTTCCATATATATATATAGCATCTACGCAACGCTTATGAGCGAGATGCTATAGTGATTTCGCCTATAGTACCATCGCTGTCCGTTTTTTTTTATCAGCAAGGATTTTTCGACCGCCACGGACATAACATGTCCATAACAGTAACATGTGATGCAACCTGACCATATTATCCGGTTCCCTTACAAGCCTAGTTCCCAATATATTGATGGAACCGATTTGGTCTGGAATGATTTCTGTCGGACCAAACGATTTTAATCCAAATCAATGTTTTTTAAAATATTGCTCAAAACCTTGTTCTCTCCCCACTTTATGTATTTATTTATTTTTTGAATATTAACTTACGACCCCGTGATAATTGAACTCTAGATATCACCTGTGGCACCCACCACCTTGTGTATCTCTTTCCCGAGCCCATTGTCCTCTCTCTCATTCTGTGACATATTTCTTTCACTTCCTCAAAGCCTATTTTCTGAGTGGTCTGTTTGGTGTCCCTCTCTCTCCCCTATTGTGAATTGGTCTCTCCCTTTTTGGGCATTAACTTATTATTTTTCATCCTTATTGTCAAAATTTTTGTACAAAGAGTGAGAAAGGCAAATTTGTGTTGAAAGTTTTGTACATTCAAAATGTTAGCACATGGAACAAATCACCATTTTGGCTTTTTTTTCTCTATTAACATGAACAATAACATTCGTGCCACTCCTCAAACCTTCTTTAATTTCATCTAAATCTGAGATCAACTTCTAAGGAATTTTTTTTCATTTCCATTATACAAATGAATGATATTTGCTGCATCTCACCTTACATTTCAAATGTTCTTTATAGAATACTAAATCCTTAATAAATAAAAAAATCTCATATATCCGGAAATTTTACCTTAGTATTTTCTTTACAGCGCGTCACATGTGCATTGCAATCGAATTTTTCTTTCCTCCGCGCGCATGTGTGTTGGATTATTTTAGGAGAAAATGAAAATTGGGTAAATGGTAAAAAACTCCCCAAAATAGACTTCTTACGCACTTTATCCCATCCACTTTTTCTTAGCAAACCCCCATACAAAAGTTCTTTTTTTTTTTTTTTGACAAAAAGACCTTTATCTCACATGTCCGAAAATACCTTTTCATCCCATAACAAATTATTTTAGTTGAAGAGGATGGTCCGGCATTTTGAAAAAGCGGTCCAGCTGTTATTTTTGTTGGAATGGCCAGTCCGGTGTTTCAAGGTGGTGGTCGGCATTTTATGGTGGCGATCCAACGTTTCATGGTGGCGGTCTGACGATTATTATTATTATTATTATTTTGTTGGAAATGGGCGGTCTGGCGTTTTGAAGTTTCTGTGCCGCATTTTGAAGGGGCAATCCGGCATTTTGATAAGGTGGTCCGGTATTTTGTAGGGGTAGTTCGGCGTTTTGAAGTAGAGCTCCAACGTTTTGAAGTGAGCAGTCCAGAGTGGTACAAG